CTCCTAATCACAATGTACATCAACCCACTACCCTCTATCTGCTGGTGGTTTTGTGGGCACTTAAAGACAATGAATAGCAAAGCCAAGAGAATAAGCATAGCATAACACTGCAAAAAAACTACCAGCTCCACAAGCTATCTACCTTCTGAATAATAAAAACTACCCAAGAACGTAAAGCAACAGTATGTCCTGAGATGCTGACAAGGAGAATTTATATAACAATCTAGAGCCTCTTCAGTTGGTGATCATTTCCAACTTAGATTCTTGTTTCCAAGGTTTTCTGAGTTTCATGGTAGAAAAAAAAAAAAAAAACCTACTCTGGTGGTTTGCCACCAAAATAGTTAACATACCTATCCACAGCCGTGAGTTGGTTTTCACAAACTTAGCAAGTTCATCAGCGTTCACTTCTCCTTTGAAATCAACTGGGCTGGCATCATTTTGTTTGAACAGCTTGTACACAGGAAAATCATCTTTGCTAATATCAAAACGTTCCCGCAGGTCATCATTCTCTTTTTCACCATATTCTGTAAAAAGAAGATAACTGGACTGTCAAATTTCCCACACATACATGAGCTAATAAATCACAAAACAACTCATTAATTTAAAATATGTTTTCCTCATTAGGGTAGATAAGCTTGAATATAAATTTCCAGGTTTAAGTCATATGTGTCTAATGGTCCATCATCCATTTCCTTCTCAGTATCTAAATGTCAGTTCTCTACACCATCTTCTATACATTTCATATATCTTATCTGAGTGAGGTAATATGATGTCAACCCTTTCACTCCCAATAGTGACCAAGACAGAATTTCTCCTTAAAATATCAACACAATCTCGCGTGAACAAGTGATGAGAATATAGAAAAATATCAATTAGTGGATTATCATTTGATTCAATACCAAATTCTCCAAACTAAAACTATAAGCAGTGTTTGGCAGATAGTAGGGAGAATTACTAAAGAGATCATGAGAGTGAAAGGGTTAAATCAAGCAATATTTCCTTGTTGATATTTCCATTCCTTTGCATTAACTTTCTTTTTGAAAACAAATGAATATTGTAGGGAGAAATGCATCCTTCATCATTTTCGTACCTGACACTCCAACTTCAGCTACCAACAACTCAGGCTGAGAAGAAGCTTTCTCGGCAAACTTTTTAAACTCATCTTCTTTTTCACCATAAGCATACTGCTTGTCAAATTTAACCAGCACTGCTTTGTGTTTTCCAATGACCTGCCTCAGAGTAAAGTTGGAGAAGAAAAAAAGTCACTTGACTAAAACAGATCGTTTAAAGAGTGACGTTCATAATTTCATGGCCTGTAAGTACAGCTGTAATAAAAATAACGCTTACGGAATACTAACAAATTAAATTTTTTTACGAGGCTTTGAAAATAAAAATGAATGAAAAAGTAGAGTTTGCAGATCAAAGCTTTCAAGCCGGCCGATGAGATGAAAGCACGTTGTCCTCTTAATTAATTAACGAAGGTAGAGGATACATGTGCAAGGTAAAGCTGTTCATCACTCCATGTTGATCGGTTATTTTAAATAAAAGGGTCGTGAGAACAATAATATGTTACATATCTGAGGCTTCTATTTTTTTCTCTTTGACAAAAATGCAAGTTAAGCTGCTAAAACCATCAGTTTTATTTCAGTTTGCAAATTTGGCGATTTTGGTCAAGGACAAAGCCACACACTGTATGATTTAAAAATACCTTGTCGAAAGTTAGCGTATCCAGGGGAACAGCTCCTTTAGCTGTGCCATCCACGTTCAGCACACCCAAACTCGTTAATACAATCGCAGTAATTAAACTGGTAAAAGCCATTATAGCGAACTCGTTCCAATAGCCTCTGAGGACAGGTCACCTACTTTCGCTCTTTTCAGCCCTTTGAGCCTTCAAATACTTAGATCAGTGGATTAACTACCGGAAATTAATTTATGGTAGAACCCTCAATAATAATTAGTTTCTTGCAAGTACTTCTGGGAAACACACATTCCCATAAGCCAACAAGCGCATCACGCGGCTTCAGCTCTTTCTTCGCAGCTGTCACACTCTCGAACGTGCTGTATTGTTAAATACTTTTTTTTTAAGGAAAGCTTGTTTTGAGTCAGATTTTGGAACATTTATTTTTGCCCAAGGTAAGATCAAAACACGACAACTTGGTAAACGAAACGAAGTTCGTGCGTTCCGTTTTAAATTCACACATTCTACGCTGGCTACCAAGTGACACGCTTGATTCTTTGATTATTGATCCGTCTCTTCTAAGTAGGAGTATTCTCAGATTTAAATATTGATCTCGGAAAGTTTGTAAGCTTTTAATTTAGGGAAGAACTATTAGTCTTCCAGTCAGTGGAAGCCTAAAGGAGTTTCAGCGTTGAGCTGATTCCTGAATATTTAAATTAGATGACTGCACTTGGACGCAAATAACTAACAATGTCAGGTGTAATCCACAGCTCTATTTGTATCCATGGAAAGTTAATATTCGACAGATTTTCCTATGTATATCTACTTCGACATTTTTCCTACCTTGTTAAAGTACTTTGAACACGGACGTACAACATGAAGAATCAACTAAACTTAAAAAAATGTTCAGTTCACCATTTGTTCGTATTTCTGGCTAAAACTTTTCTTCGCTTACTTATGTCTGCATCCATTGGTTTTTTTTTCTTTTTTTCGGCTTCAAGTCTTTTAAAGGACTTGACAATGGCAATCAGGGAAAAATTGAATTGAGTTTGCAACTCATCTCCGGCTAGATGTACAGTTTTTTTTTAGAAAGGAAAAATAGTGACAGGTTTGGCTTATACATAGGTTTTCAGGAGTCATAATTTTTTTGTGTGAAAAAGAAAAAAATTCTTGTTACTCTTTTTTGTCGGTTGCCAAATGTTGAATGTGAAAAGGGTAATTTAGTATTATCAACTGAGTTGATAATGCAAATTGGCCAACCTTAAGAGTTTCAAAGCTGACATTTTGAGTGTAATACCTTTATCTGAGTGAATCAATTGCTCTGACAAAGGGCTAAAGTTCAAAATGTCAAATTTCAAACTCTTTATGTCAGCCAATTTACCTTATCAACTCAGTTGATAATAGTAAATTATCCTGTTACACTCTCCCACCAATGCAGCACCACAGTTTCTTTAAAAACTTACCCTCTTTATTCATTTGACTTTGAAAGGATTGAGCTTGGAGCTGAAAACGAGAGAGCTTATTAACCCTTCAACTCCCATCAGTGACCAAGACAGATTTTCTTCTTACATTATCAATAGAAAATCAAGCAGACAAGTATTGAGAGTAAATAAAAATAAGGAATTAATTGTTGATCCAATACCAGATTCTCCAAATTAATGTTATGAGAGTTGTATAGGAGACAGTAAGGAGAGTTTTGAATGAGATCTTGGGAGTTAAAGGGTCAATAGTGTTGCAGTTAAGAATCATTTTGACTTGATTTGCTTGTTAAACTGTGGCGGTTATGTTGTTGTTTCAGATGTCTGGGAGAGGTGGTCCACATACATACAAAGTTTATGTTGGTAACCTCGGGTCTAATGGTTCCAAAGCAGAGCTAGAAAGAGAGTTCGAGAGATTTGGAAGACTCCATGATGTGTGGGTTGCTCGCAATCCACCTGGATTTGCCTTTGTAGAATTTGATGATCAGCGTGATGCTGAAGATGCTGTGAAGTCACTTAATGGTTCTCGCATTTGTGGAGAAAGAGTACGTGTAGAAATGGCTCGCAACCGTGGCAGAGGTGGTGGGGGAGGGGGTCGATCAGTTCGCTCAGATTACCGTGATGACCGTGGCGGGGGTCGCCGTTTTGATGACAGAGCTGACCGTTTTGATGACAGGTCAAGGTCACCATATAGGTATGTTCTGTTGTATTACGATCTGCTTTTGAAAGTATTCCCCTGACAGGATTGCATTTGATTTCAAGTTTGTAGTTAATGTAAGAATTAGACTTAATCTAAAATTCTTAATTAAGTTTGTGAAGGTTATTTTTCCCTTACTGAGAGCTTCTCTGAAATTCTCAAAGGTAATGATCTGAGTTTGCCTGTGAATGACCAAGATGGTTTTCCTTACAATATCATGGCAATATCAAGAAGACAATTAATGAGCAAAGGGAAAAGTATCAACAGGTTGATTTTTAAGTTAAACCAAAGCCATATTCTCAGAACTAACATCATAATAATTGTATGGCAAACAATAGAGAGAGTTACTAGTGAGATCTTCAAAGTGAAACTGTTAATTTTGAAATCCTATTAGTCCATGGGATCAGTGGATGACTGATATGGAAAAAGTGTTCATAGTACTCTTCTTTTGAAGATAAAGTAAGAAATAATCGGTAAATTAACAAGCATAAATTACCTTTGCCTTTATATTTGCCATGCTATGTTTTTATCATTCCTAGTTGTTTTCTTTCATGCTAGCTAAAGGGCTGGTTTAATGAGCTGTTGGCTTAATTATGTGATAACACATATGAAATGTGACAGTGTTGCTGGGACTGTGATATATGACAATTTAAAATTTGAAGCAATGCAGTTATGGGCAGTCACATTTCAAAAGTGTTTTTGTAGTTATGTCAAGAGGGCATTTCAATTGAGTGTCTCAGAAACAAGACCAAAGTAATAAGCACATCCAGTCATAAATTTGGAAAATAACAAAACAAGCTGAAAGGAGCTCTGAGTAAAAACAGCCAGAAACTTCCAGATGCAGGGAAAAACATGTGACTGGTTGTGATTGAATTTAATTTTGTATCTAATTGGCTACTATGGTACAGGCTTTATTGACCAATTGTATAGCAAGCAAACTTGTTCTAAACAATCATGTGACATTTGACACTCAATTGAAAATTTATTTCGATCAATGTGGTAATACTCTATTGCTGATGTTCATGTCATGTCTGGGTTATTCTTTAGGGACTACTTAGCTACACTCCCAATGATAACCTCGCCCAACTTGACCACTTTCATATGGTTCTGAGCCCAGCTTCCTTCGAAAAGGATTCTCCCCAGCGGCCCCTTCTCCCAAGCCATGGACCAACAACTTTTCTTCAACTTTTCACCCACCTCCTTTTCACTTCAACCTCCCTCAGTTTTCCATCAGTTAATGGTCATTGTAATCCCTTCATGCATCCTTCCAACTCCTGGCATAGACCTTGAAAAGTGTTCCTCTACCCTTTTTTTAAATTCTCGCACACTAATTTGGTCATCGCTGCATTTCAAGACTCAAGGAGTACCCGAGCTGACATATTTAGGTGTAACTTCGGAAAACTGCTGGTCTCCTGGGGCATGCTATAGCAACGCATTCATTATTTTCTGGTTATGGAATTCCATATGATACTAAAGGGAAAATTCTTCAGTGTCTTGAAAATTGGCCATGGAGTGGTAAACAACAGAGCTGTAACAATACCACACTTGCTTGAGGGTGTAGTCATCTAGAGTGAGTAAGATGAAGTGTTTGCTATCTTTGGTATGCCTCTGAACTTTACATTTACTGCACTACCTACTGCAGCCTTCAATAGGGGACTAAGTGAGTCAACTGGCTAAAACGAGAGTCATCACATCGGAGAAGCAACTGTTGCTAAGTCTTCCTAATGTCAGAAAATTTGCTGTGTTGTGTCACTCACTCACGATCATCGGTGGCAACTATAAGCTGTCAGTGACCACACCTGAAGACTCCAGAAGGAAGAGCGTGACTCAAACCCTTTTAATCATGCCAGCCAATTTCTCCCTTATGCAGCTTTGTGAAATTACCATTTCAGACTTCATCTTGAAGCCATAGGTAGTGTCATTGTTGTAGCTTGTGTACACTTTGGATTAAAAAGGGTTTTGTTAATAATTATGTGGGATCAAAGGAAGTTATAACTTGTAACGAAGACAAGGGAATTGTGCCGTAAGGGTATAGAATGTATTAGTCCTTTTGTAGATAAATATGTCAACCTGTTCATTTCCAGTAGGATAAGAACCTAAATTCTCCTTGATATTTCAATACATTGTTAAACAGAAAGGAAATGAGAAGTAGGAAAATTATTCACTAAGAGATATTATTTGAATAGAAGAACAAAATTCCCCATCAGAACCAACGAAGACATGTATTGTTATTAAAGAGGAAAGTTTGATATACTGTCAGTTATTAGGGTGCTCTGTTGAAGATGGGTACTTTCATGTCTTTGTGCATCTCGTTTTAGAGTTATAGTTGTGATTATGTCATCCAAATTTAGAAACATTGTCTCATCTGTAAATGGTCTCGTTAACTGTGCACCAGTCATTGATAAAATATTTTAGCTTTAGTTTTGCTATATTGATTTGTTAAGGTAAATGGTATTGGAAACATTTTATTGGTTGAAATAATTTTGAAACATCTATGCTTGTATTAGGAACACATATATTGCAATTGTTTCAGGAAAATTTTATGTCTCTGCCATGGAGATTGATTGGGGTTGAAATTCCATGTACCATGGAAAACCCCCACTTTGAATTAACACCTGTGGAATGTTAAAACCACACTAGGCAAAGGGCTCTGTTCAAAAAAATCTGTCAGACTTGATGCAAGTCACAACCCTGGATAATGACTACAGCACCCTTCATTGAAGTTCTTTTGTTTTTATTTTGTATGACAGGTCACCACCACGGCGAGTGAGAGGAGGAAGGTCTCCTGAAGGAGACAGGCATGTTTTTATCTCAAGTGTACTTTTGTTTACAAGCACAATATTTTGTATCATTTATATTTAAGGTAGAATCTTGTAGGTTCATGCTACAGAAACCAGGGATTAGCTCTGGCAGACATGACCCATTGGACTGTGAGGACTGAATCCTAGTTAAAGAGTTAAAATACACAGCCCAGGCACTTTTTGCACTTTTTCATTTAAAAGTGGTAGTTTACCTGGGTTTCCATGGAAGGTTAGAAAATAGCTTTGAAATACAATGAATTTTGCAAATGGTTATTTTGCACAAAGGCAGATTTGAGTACTTCCTTGATATAAATGTAGCCATTGGAAATGCAATTTTGTTAAATTTTTTACTTCTTCTGCAATTTTATCCTCGAGTTTATACTCTTTTTTTTTTTGTCAGCAGGTGGGGAGGAAGGGGAAGGAGCAGGTCTCGTAGTCCTCGACGTTACTAGTCAACTCAACCATGGTAAGGTAAACGTAGCGTCAAACCTGGCATTACCAAATGATATCCAATCAGAGAGCAATGCATAACATTTAAATTTTAACTGGACCAATGAGATTGATGCAATGTGAAATTAACCCTTGAACTGCTAGAAGTGATTATCATGTAACTTCTCCCAATGATATCCATACATCATCCACCAAACAGGTAATGCGAATACTGAGATATGAGGTGGAAGTTGATCTAACACCAAATTCTCATAACTGATTTGCAAGGAAAATATATAGCAGCTAGAGGGGAGAATTAGCAATCAGATCTTGGGAGTTGAAGGGTTAAAATAAAGATATAAAAAAACTGTAGAGATAGTACTTCATTAGCTAGTTACAACATAACTTCTTTTTAAAAGACTAGTATGGGAGTCTAGCCAATGACCTCCTGCAGCTTACTTGCACAAAACATAGCATGAATGCTTCACATTTGTTACCATATTACTGTTGTTTGTTTGTTTTTTTTAATCCATATGTTAATTTAACTTTGTGGTTGTCTCATGCTGGTATCATTCAAATCATTTGAATTTTGTTTGTACAGGAGCCTTTGTACCAATTGATTGGTGGACAACTTTGTACAAATCAGCCACCTCAACACCATGGAAAATGTTTTTAACATCTATGACTATAACTTAAAGATTCTTTTTCACTTAGTTTGCTGTAAATGGCTGATTTTATGTGGTACAAAAAAAACTGATCTTTTTAATTTTTTCTTATTTTAGCACCAATCATATTTTGTTTAAATGACTCAGTTTACTGAAACTGTATACACTCAATTGTGAAAATGTTGACACCAAAAAAAGCATTAACAATGGACAATGAGACCTCACAGCTTTTATGGTCAGATGTACATGATAACCACCATTGGGTGCATGTGGTGAATGATGGAAGCTATCAAAGCTTTTCTGAAAGAAAGGGATTATCATAAAGAAAGGATTTTACATGAGTAACGAGAGAAGTGAATCACTGAGTATTTATCTGTGCCCACATTCCCCAGGAAGCCATTGGGTCTCATCATCTTGGATTATACTTTTTTTCGTATTCACATGTTTATGAAGGAAACTGACTGTATCAAAATTACTATACCTGTGAAACTTTTAAGATGTTGCATTTTAAACCTTTTGTTTTGTATTCATATTTATTTGTACCCTATTACTCTATTAAAGACGCGAATTAAATTCAAGCAAGAAATGATCTTGTCACCTAAGGTTCTCAAGAAAACATTACCAGTTCTACAATGAGTTTCACTGGGGTGGTGTGCTCTACATCCTAGGAAATGCTTTTCAGGGTAGAGATTTGAAAGGGGAGGGATTCCACTGGCCTGTGCCAGGGTTTTGATTTAAGTACATAAGGGAAAGAACAGATGAGTGAATATCAGTCAGAGGCAGGTCTAGTCTGTGCAATCCTTCTTTCCCACCACCTTTTTTCTTGGCTTGAAGTCAACCTCTCTTTTTTATCTGGTCTTTGTTCTCCTTTTCAAAACACTGGCTGACTATTAAGCCAATTTTTTCAGTCTTTTTCACCAGATTGTTCACTTTTTTCCACTGAGTGCTTGTAATTCTCTTGGATTTGGGATATTGATGTGTAGAAAAGGGAAAGGGAAACTACATTTGGCGTGTCTTAATTTCTATTATAATTCATTGAAATTGTTACTAAAATGAACAGCTATTAAAACTTGTTATAATTTTGGAAAACTTTGCTTCTTTCTTTCCTTTGTCCTTGCATTGGCTGCTCTAGAGATGTGTTGCCTTGTTGTGTGTTAAAATAGAGGTAACGCTTGCCATAACATTTTCAAAAAATGATACAATTTGGATCTAAAGCCTTTATCTTTAATGTGGAAGGTTATGGGGTCTGAGCCATTGTGAACCAATGTTCAATTCTAGCAGATCTGAACTTGCGCAAAGATTAAAATCAATGGAAAGTTGTTCAAATAAACAATAGCTACCAATTCATTAGTATCAAGCAGAAAGTTGATTGATTGTAGACTCGTCGTATCCCCATAGATCTTGTGAAGAAAGTTCAATTTGAGAAAATCAACCGATCGTTTTTACAATGTCCATGTTAATTATTTTTCTTCAGTATCTTGGGGGAATCCTTATCATTATTTCTGTCGTCACATGATAAAGTTCCGTCCTCCCCACCTCTACCCCCTCCCTAACCTCTGAAAAGCTCGTTCCCAGTTTGCCCGGGATTTATAATGACCAAAATGGCGGAGTATTGGGTTATGAAATACACAAATTGCTTGAGAGTAAATGAGGGTTGTGTTTAGTCTCATAAAATGGAGAATTACCACGTGTTAGAGCTTATTGGAGAGGGCTCTTTTGGAAAAGTTTACAAAGGGCGCAAGAAATACAGTGGTCAGGTAGGGGTTGTGAAATAAGAGCTCTATGTTTTGAATTGACGGCGGGAAAACTGTCAAAATTCTTACGTTTTGCACAGGAATTAGATTTTCTTCGCGGAGTTCTTCTAACCTGATATGTTGCATCACTAAAAACAGTTATTAAAAACTAAATCCATGTTCAGCTGAAAATGTATGGCACAGTAAACTGAGGAATATGACAGCTTAATCACTGTTTACATATGGAGAGTGTTAGTACCTGTATGTAGTGCTCTTTGAACAGAACATACTTGGAAGTAGAGGGTGCAGCGGGAATACGATGCAACACAAACATTTTGCTGGAGTTGTATTTTGCATTGAGCTGTTGATGGGGGTGAAGTGGTTAAGAGTTGGAATCCACTGCCTTTAATAAATCTTCAATATAGAAACTTTGTACATGACTTTCAGTTCTTTATAATACGCTCTATGAATTTAACTTTCAGGTTGTTGCATTGAAATTCATTCCTAAAGTTGGCAGGTCGGAAAAAGAGCTGAAAAATTTACAGAGAGAAATTGACATTATGAGGAACTTAGAACATGAAAATATTATTAAGTTACTGGACTCCTTTGAAACACCCAAAGAGGTACAGTACAGAAGAAGTCTCCAGAAACTGAATAGTTTTTATCTCCACCATTAAAAATTGTCTATTTAACAAACAAATTCCATGTTGACATGCATCTGTCCAGTATTGTATCAATAATCTTTTACTGTACAGGCCCATGGCCAGGTGGAATCAATTTAAGATAAAAAAAGATAAAATTTAATGATAAAAAAGTACAATGCTGTGGATGGTGACGACATATATGCATCTGTCCTCCAATAGATCATAAGTAAGAACCAATCAAAATGTGTGTAGGAATTCAGCTTCTTAAATTACAAAAATTTACTTTTTGCCACATTTTGAGATTTCAGAGAGCAAACTAACCTTTCAAAAGCTGTCCTTAGATTTTAATTTGGAATACTTCCATAGTAAGGTGACCAGAACATAACCTGCACAATGTTCTATAATTGAACTGGTATGTTGGGAAGAAAATTACACATCTTAGAGATGGCTGTAGTTGTGGTTGTCTGGCTCTTTATTTTCATTTATCTCTTGCTCTGGTTTGAATTAATGTGATCCAAATAGTTTGAGTGTAATCACATTGGGAGCTGAAGTCTGTAATGTCACAGGTAAGTGGCTATTAAGCAATTTTGAAAATGTTGACAATCTTTGAAAGGTTTGGGTACTCTTTGGAATCTTAAAACACCGGCAGTGACACAATTTTATTAGTTTATTAATAGCAGCAATAAAACTGTTTTGATCACTTGACTATTCTTCTTCCTTGACTTTGTCTGTACTAGAGCTTTTGTTGTCACTTAGACTTAAGCAGTTGATGCCATTACAAATGTTTAATATGTTTATTGAATCATCAAGGTATGTGTTGTAACAGAGTATGCTGAGGGAGAATTATTCCAAGTATTGGAAGATGATGGTTCTCTTCCAGAGGAACAGGTTTGTGATGAGTGTTTTTTCCATTGGTTGTCTCTATTGAAAGTGGTGGAAATTTTTTTTTTTTTGTACACTGCCAGGATGATTCATGTTGGCTTCACCATTACTGACCTGGCTAGCTTCAGTGTTTATGTATCAGAGTATAAAAAGTTTCATTTCCCATCACACGTCATGATTTGTTTGTATGCACATAATACTTGAGGAACACATAATATTTATTTAAATGATGACATATCAAGCTGTAGTAATTTGCAATATCAAACACAAATAAATTGTCCAAAAACCAAAACAACCCTGAAGGTGGCAGCAAAACATCTTTCCAAATAATAGTTTATATTAATTAATGATAAGGGGTGGCATTAATTAAGTGATGGAAAACCCTAAGTAAGAGGTGTGTGCCACATCTGATAAAGAGCACTTTGATAATAAAGGGGCGAGTCATAATGCATAGCGCATTCCAAACACAGACAGAAGGGGTACATTAACCCTTTACACCCTAACATCAGTATGCATATTCTCTATACTGTTTTCTATACAATTATTCAGTTGGTGATCATTTCCTTTATTCTCGTGACCTTACTGTGTGATACAGGGGTTATACTGTTGGGAGAAATTAGATGCTAGTCACTCTCAGGGGTTAAAGGGTTGACCCATCCAAGACCAGCCTGACTGATTCAGCACTCAGTGAAAGATTTCATTTGACACCCAAGTTATATTAATTTCATTCTGAAGAGATTTAACATTTATTCTCACTGGTTACAATAATGTTGAATTGCTTTTTCAAAAACCACTCAATAAACCTGTTCTCTTAGATTTGATGCTCTTTAAAAACTGAATACCAGTAGTTTGAATTGAGACTTCATACTGTTCCATGAAAAAAACTTGTTTCACAATCTTTGAAATTTTTTCAGGTGAGAAAGATTGCATGTCAGCTTGTGAAGGCCTTGTACTATCTACACTCTCATAGGATTCTTCACAGAGATATGAAACCTCAAAATATTCTTCTTGGAAAAGGTGGTGTGGTGAAACTGTGTGATTTTGGGTATGTAGGCAAGAATTCTTGTTCTATGGATATTCATACCATCATTGGACATTCACTGTCTCTGTATCTGCTTCTATCTTTAAACTCCCTTGACCCAAATTTTGATTCTTCTGATTGATCAATTTTGGCAGGATCAAGTTTATACATTAGTATTGAAAATCACATTTTGACTTTTTTCAATATCAAAACAATAACTGTTTCAATAACTTATCACCCCATTTTTGCAACTTGATAAAAATTGTAAGCAACATTTGGGAAGTATCCTTTTGAACATAAAAATATTATTAGGTTGTCAAGCTGAGTTTTAGTTGTAATTTGTTACAAGCGTAGGTATTAAATGTCTACTATTTCAACCATGTCCAGATTTGCAAGAGCAATGAGTATCAACACCCTTGTGCTGACATCAATCAAGGCAAGTTTAAAAACTCCCACAACTAGCAAGATTGGATGCATCATTCTCCCTTAAAACATCATACATTTCCTGGTATATAAGATGAGAGAATTTGGCATTGCATCAAGTCTGTAATGAAAGAGAAGTTCAATCCTTGCACAACTGAGGCTTTATTCAACAAGACCTTGTGCTTATATACTGAACAACATAAACATGGTGGCTGAACAAAAAAAAGTCCGCTGACATGTACGGATTAACAACTCTGCTGATATATGCATGGGCACTTAAACTACATTGGAAGCCCAGTAATTAAAGATTAAATTGTCACACTGTCATTACAACAAAGTCAACACCCTTCAGTTGATGAATCTGTTTATTCTTGCCACTTGTTTGCCACATTCATGGGCAAAACCTGTTGAGACTTTGAAAATCTGTTTTTCTCTCTTATGCGCGATGTGCTTGGTATACATTAACTTTATAAATGTCTTTATTCCATCCCCTTCACTCAATGTTGCTATTTGTTCTGTAAATTGTGTTTATTCGGTTAGAAAGAACCAGAAACAATATTGACTAGAAGGAGGAAAGGGAAATATTAAGGCAGATGTGGGAACATTTTTGTTCACAATTGTAATTCAGATTGTGTAGTGAAATTGAAAGGATGAGTTGTGTCAATTGCTTGTGTTATTCGCACTTCTTAGTATGTTAAAAAATAAAGGAAAAAAAGAAGGTAATAAAACAAAGCTAGAAAAGAATTTGGCCATATTCAACAGACACACAATCAAACCCGCCTAATATTTACCTGGTCACCACTGATTGTTCTAGGGAACTCCATTATACATGTCTCCTGAACTGGTTCAAGAGAAACCTTATGATCACAACTCTGACCTCTGGTTTGTATCTCAAATTGTACATTGTATTTATGTCTCACTGTGAGTGATTTCTCTTTTGTGCTTTAATTATTTTCTTTAGTTGAATTTGATTTTTACTTTTTGTGGATTTTCACAATCATTATCCTTTTCATTATCCACTTGTCATCACTGATGTCGTCATTGTCATTGTCATCATCATTGTCATGGTCATGGTCATCATCTTTGCCATGGTCATTGCCATCATTGCCATTGTCATTGTCATTATCATTACTATTGAAATTTTCAATATCATTAACCCTGTAGTTGTCGTAATTTTCATTATCATAATTATTTATAATAACTACAAGGCAGTGAGAGGTAGAACTTTAATCTCTGGTTTGGAAATTTGTAACATCTCTAGTCATGTATAGTTCATGCCAGAAAATTTAGCTCTGTACATAAAATGAAGGTTACACAATTCTGTTAAAGGATGGTACTAATTGTGTGCTACTATTAAATATGCATTTTTATTAGTTGTTTATTAGA